CCCCCAGCCAATTCCTAGGTTGCTAAGGGCTGAAAATAGCCAGCCAGTCAGAGATGAGAGATTGGCCTGAGACACTGGGGCAGTGCAAGCCTCTTCCCCAACCTGGAGTGGAGAGTCACATGGAGGGAGCAGCTTGTTTTTTGAGGCTTCTGCTATCAACAGGAGCTGTAATTACATGTGTTACTTTGACCAATAAAATATGCATATTTTTCAGAATTTTAAAATATTGTGCACCGAATGTTTAATATTTTGGCACAAAATTCCCCCCCGGGATTAGTTGTGTAGCATTTGGTGAAGGACTCTTCCCTTCTGCTGGGCTTATTGTCTAAGCTAGGGCTGGGCAAAATATGGCCCGCAAGCCGAATCTGGCCCACCAAGCCACTGGATCCAGCCCATGGACTCCCCTGCAGGGACCCTCAGGCGCATACAGCTGCTGCAGGTTAAAACACAGCTTTCTGCTCTGCAGGGAGGGGGAGGCTTTGTGCGATCTCCCTACCCCCAACCCAATCCTCACCTCCTATTGACCAGAAACAACTGGACAGTAATAACTGACCTCAGCCAATATCTCAGTTGCTAATGGCTGGAAAAAGCCAGCCAGTCAGAGATGAGAGATTGGCCTGAGACACTGGGGCAGTGCAAGCCTCTTCCCCAACCTGGAGTGGAGAGTCACATGGAGGGAGCAGCTTGTTTTTTCAAGTGGGCTGGGGCTGCAACAGGCAGGAATCCCAGCCCGCTTTGGGGGTGCTGCAGCCTGCTGGCCAGGAGACACTTAGGTAAACTCCTCCCAGACAGCACCTACCTCTGACACCCCAACCCCTTCTGCACCTCAACTCCTTCCTGCAAATCACCATCCAAACCCTCTGCACCCCCTGCCCCTGGTGACTACTCCCTCCCAGACCCTGTACCTCCTCCCACACCCCTCCCTCAGGCCAGAATCCTCTCCTGCACCCACACTCCCTCCCTTATCCTACACCCTAAACCCCTGACTGAGATCACAACCCCCTCCTCTACCCAAACACCCTCTCAGACCCCTCACTATCTCCTGCATCCCAATCCCTTACACCATGCACCCTGCTGCACCCAACCTCCAACTTAGACCCTGCACAGAAAAGTGCAGCCCTTGACCGCTTTCCAAAATCTTGGAGTGGCCCCCCACCAAAAATAATTGCCCAGCCCTGGTCTAAGCCCTGGTCTATACTAGGGAGTTATTTCAAAATAATTTCCCTTATTTCAAAATAACAAGCAGAGCATCCATACTATGGAAAGCAGGAGTTGTTATTTTGAAACAACTAGCCCTTTATTTCAAAATTATGGGCTTAGTAGGGTGCGTTTACACTACATCCAAAGCTTGAAATAAACTACACAATTTGAGCTACACAAATTGAATAGCTTATTTTGACATGTCTACCTGGCATGTCAGAATGATTCAAAAACACAATTATATTTCATTTCCAGCCCTGATTTTGTTTCTTAACTTCAGTTAGAGAAAAAATTAAATAAAATACTTTGAGGCTATGTCATACGTTAAAAAAAACCAAGGACTGTTTTGCCTTTCCCTTTACTGCCATAGCCTAAAATGATGGGTCTTTAGAGCTCTTTATTAATCTTGTATGAGTCTAGTATGGTTTTCCTTGGAAAGTTCCTAATTCAGTTCAGTTCAGTTTTTCAGTTCCTAGTTCAGTTTTCAGTATTACTAACTACTGTATGAACTGACATTCAAAGGTGATGTTAAAACAGCTGCTTCTCACTCCTTGTACAACAGTTCAATTTCTGAAACAAAATATGCTGATTTTTTCCATGCCATAAAATTATGTCCCTTTTTCCGTTCTATTTTGTGCAACGAGGAGTAACAGTTAATCCAAGGGAAGGGGTTTTTTTCGGAATACCGCGTCTACACGCAGCAAGTTAATTCGGACTAGTGGATTTTTAAAATGGCGACCAGATGCTAATATGCTAATCAAGCATGAGATATTTAAATCCTGCGCTTCATTAGCAACTTTGGTATGCTACATTTGCATCCCTAGTTCAGACTAGGTAGCAAGTGTAGACATACCATAACTCCCACTAATCTTGACTTGATGCATTTACCAAGAAGTGAATAATATGTAATAAGATTCAAATAAGGTAAGGAAGACATAATTCTTTCTTTGATTCAAAGAGTCAGTTTTCTTTATAAGAACATCTGTCATTTGGTCTCAGAGGAGTAGCTGTGTCAATCTATAACTTTAAAAACAAGAAGTAGTGCTGTGTACACTAACGGGAAAAGGCAACTTAAGATACACAACTCCAGCTACGTTAATTATGAAGATGGAATCAATGTATCTTAAAACACATTTTCGCACTGTACATACAGCGGGAGGTCGACTGGACTACGAGTGCCGGACTGGACTACGGGGATGCCCTCTCAGTTTGAATAAGTGGGTCCTCACTAGAACCATTAAATCAAATCCCGGAAATCGACTGCAGCATCATTGATCTTCTCTGTAGAGTACATATGGCCTTATGTTATGTCTACACTACATGATTCTTGCACAAGAAGCCTTTTGCACAAGAGTTATTGAGCAAAATCTTCTTGCGCAAGAGCACATCCACAATGTGCTTTTGCGCAAGAAAGCTTCCACACTTCATGGATGCTCTTGCACAAGAAAGCTCTGATGGCCAGTCACAGAATTGCCATCAGAGCACCTGTGCTTTTTCCCCATAGGGGTTTCTTATACAAGAAACCCTTCTGGAGCATCCACACTTGCCTTTTTTCATAAGAACTCTTGCGCAAAAGGGAACCATGCCTCGTAAAAGGAGGTTTACCTACAGCAGAAAAAGCTCTCTGTTCTGCCATTTTACTCTTGATTTCCTTGAGCAAAAGCGCATTTGAGGTGTGGACTCTCCACAGGTTTTTGCGCAAAAACCTTGCAGTGTAGAAGTAGCCTTAGAGAATAACAAAAATATACATAGTATATAAGCTTTTGTGGGCAAAACTCACTTCTTCAGATGAGCCAGACTAAAGAAGTGGGTTTTGTGCATGAAAGCTCATAATGCTATATATATTTTTGTTCATCTCTAAGGTGCCACAAGACTACTTATTATCTGTCATTTGGTCATCAAATCTTGTGTTTCAGGTCACAGAAATAATTCACAGTAACTGGAGCTTTGGGCTACGTCTACACTGGCCCCTTTTCCGGAAGGGGCATGTAAATTTCACGAGTCGTCGTAGGGAAATCCGCGGGGGATTTAAATATCCCCCGCGGCATTTAAATAAAAATGTCCGCCGCTTTTTTCCGGCTTTTAAAAAAGCCGGAAAAGAGCGTCTACACTGGCCCCGATCCTCCGGAAAAAG